AGATTGGTGACCGGAAATTCCAGACATAGATGTAGTTTGCACCGGATCCGCTCGAAACTAATCGATCGCATGCTTGCACCAGTTGCAGTCAACTTAGCACATCGGCGACGGCAAACGACAGAGTCATCGACTATCTGCGACCCATCGTCACATGTCACTACCAACCAGCAGCAAATACATGACTTTTTCCGACCTTCTGTTTACAATTGCTATCGCGAAACACAAACAAACAGCCAAACCATCGAACTTGTTCCTTGAAATAGGTGCCGGGTCATCGCCGTTCACGACCGGGCATTATTCGACTCAGAGTTCGCCCCTCACTGCCCTTAGCATGGGTTTCGGATCAACAGACTTTGGAACTATTGAAATATTGCTTGATTGACAGCATTACGCGCTATCTAGAGCGCTATCTCAGACAAGCGTAGTCGTTTCTGTATTTACAGGTTAAATTACTTCGATGTGACAAGATCCAATTTGCCGAGATAACGCGCTGAGTTAGAGTAGAGTGCAATGGACCAGGGTAATTGAATGGGTACTAGTGAAATATAGAAAGATCACATGTTCGAATTGTGGCCAATGTCGGCAGTCTCTCACTTTGCCATAGATTAGATAATGAGCAGCCCTCAGGAGAAAGAAAAGATTGAAAAAGCGAGTAATATCATTAGAAATGAAGCAGTCCTTTTTACATATCTAAAAGAAAGATCAGCATCGCGCGATGAACATTTTTGAGCAATGGGTACCGCAAATGAAGATCGCAATGGAAGTCTGTAGGAAAGACCGAGGTCTCAATAGTCGCACACGTGTGTTTATTCATTACACAGTTAACGTGACCTCCAGACGACCTCCAGATATGGAGATGGGCTGTGACAAATGAGCAGTCGCGGACAGGCAGCGATAAGATCAAAGGGCGTTGTTGGGTTTGAGCTGGACAAGTTGGATCATCCGAACAGTCGAAATGCCCAATGACAGTATAGTGTCGAGAAGAAAACGACGACCCCTTTTGATACGAAAAGCCAGAAATGTCATAACTGCTTTGCCGTCAGAGGTCGGTTCGTCGAAAGCTGGAAGAAACAATTTCAATAGAAAAATTAAATGGAATTGGTGGACCTCTATGAACAAAATTTTCAAAGCCGTCGTCAACCCCGCCAGAGGTTAGCGGATGGAGTAAAAGACAGGGATGATCTGCGGCATCATTGGCATACGCGAGACTCGACGGCGGAGGGAGGTGAATGGCACTTGGAAAGACTGTAGTTCGATTTGACTAAGAAGAGGAAAGGATGAGTCATGCGATGAGTCAGATTTATAATCAGCAAGAGGAGCTGGGCTGGCCTCTTGATACATAAAGTGACCAAGAAAGGGCATCCTGTGCCTCCAACTGATCACGATAAGAACCTGAAACACTGTCCAAACCTCTGCTCCCTCAATCACCGATGCGAAGAGGACGTGAAAGAATTCTCTCAAAAACTGGAACAGGCATCAATCCCAAAGTCCACGTTTTCCCTCGTCATGAGAGACTTAAACGTCAAAGTTAGACAAAGAAGCGAAAGTGATAAGTGCGTCGGTAGATACGACACTGGAGACCGAAATGAGCGAAGAGATCGGCTGCTGATCAAGGAAAAGCGAAACAACTGTACACTGGCAACTCCTGGTTCAAGAGAAAGAACAACCGGAAGTGGGTATGGATCGCAAACAGCGCAGCGAAGAAGAACGAGATCGATTTCCTCCTTTTCGATAAACGCCAATCATCCAAGACACATCACCTAACACCGGGAGCAACAAAAGACTGGTGCAGACCAGGCTAACCTTCGAGGAGAAGATCGAGAGCAAATCACACACACACACACACACACACACACACACACACACACACACACACACACACACACACACACACAC